TTACAGAAATCTGTCCTGTGGATCCCTTTCTTCCAGTCCTCATGTCCTTGCTGCCAGCATCGCATCGCCCTGTTTGAGTGGTATTCTGTGCATGCCATGGCCCTGTTTGAGTGGTATTCTGTGCGTGCCATGGCCCTGTTTGGTATTCTGTGGGTGCCTTGGCCCTGTTTGAGTGGTATTCTGTGGGTGCTGTTGCTCTATTTGGGTGCTGTTCTGTGTGTGCTGTGGCCCTGTTTGCATGGTATTCTGCCCATGTCATGCCTCTTCTTCCCTTCACGTTTCTTTTTTCATATTTTCTGTGAAAAGGGGATAAGAACAGAAAAAGCATACAGAAGAAAAACAAATACCAATTTCTTTTAGTGTTTATTTTGTGATGTACATTTCTTTAGGCCTTTGAAATGAGAAAAGGAAAAGTAAAGAAAAAGCTTCCCACAAGTATGGAAAAGGGAAGGAAGCCTTAGAAGAAATAGGCAGGCTCTTTCGAGATTTGTCGCCCATGCATAGGTTCAGATCTGCAGACCTGCATATAAGCTTGGCAGCAGGCAGGGTGCAAGGCAGGTTGCAGGCGGGCGGCCCCCTCACCAAATCCTGTTGACACGTTTTGTTTGGCTTGAATCATATTTGAAAAATATTCAAGTTAGTTTAAAACGTGGAAATTTTCATAATAAAAAACCCCATATCCAGCTTTCCTTAAAGAATTGGGAGTGCTGGCATCAGGCTGCTGGTGGGTTGGTGGCCTCCTCTGTGAAAAGACCTGGCTCCTAGGTCATGGCCCCTCCAGCATGGGACAGGGGCACTGGAGCGTGCCGCTGTCCCCGGCCTAGAAAGTTCTGGACTTGGACTTGGAGCTGGGAGACTCGAGCTGGTGCTTCCTGGTCTCTCCTCTTCACCTGCTCTTGGCAGCCGTGTGTGAGAGAGCACATCTTCAGCATGAGGTCCAGGGTACCTGCAAAAGATCAGATTGCCAGTGACATAGGGACATAGGGACCCTTGGTCAAGTGGGCATTTGGGAAGTGGTGGTGCTTGGTAGCAATCGTGAACATGTAAGGGAATCTCTTTGCTGCCTTCTAAGATAGTGTAAACTATTCCTTTCTTAAAAAAATTATAATGTGTTTTAAAAAAATGTGTTTTTTAAAATTATTATTATTATTTTACAAGATCCATGAAGTCTGCGTGGTGCTTGATAGGGCGTATCTGGCTACAGCTGGTGTATTTCTGGGTGTTTTATGGCAAATTATTCTCAGATTACCCTTTAATGCAGGAAGGTCTGCCTGTTGTCTGAGTTCCCTGGGTCATATGGAAACCCCTCCAACTTGATGCAAAACAGCTGCCTCAGTCAGCTGTTCCAAGAAAGGAGCATTTTCAAGCCGAAGTGGCAGGAAAAATTTTGAAATGCTGAATTACTCTTTCCTTGCCATTAAAATGTGATTTAATTTTGATACTAACAAATTGTGTAAATCTAAAATGAAGTACTCGGAATGGAGTTTATGAAGTGTATTCTGGCAATACTTACAGTATGTCCTGGGGGTGGGGGGAGTGTTCCCCAGGGAGGGCAGCACAAAATCCCGCTGACCTCCATGTCCCAGGACCTCAGTCCGGCTGGGCCAGGGTCAGGGGCCAACCCACGGGCCTCCCTCCCCTCTCTCTTCTGGGTCCCTGCTGAGACCAGCAACAAAGGGGTCAATTGTCTGAGGCCTCCTTTTGTCTGAGGGGCTCCATGAGCCTCTCTAAATGCCAAAGTGTATCCATGCACGTGGGTGAGTGTGTGTATGCACATATGTATGAGTGTGCATGTGTGCACATGTGCTGGTACACATGTGTGTGCATGGAGTATGTGTACTTGCATATGCATGCATGTATGCACATGTGAATAAACGTGCACACAAGCACTAAAAGACTGTACGTATGCATGTGCATACGTACGTGTGCATGTGTGCACACACACAGGCCGTGGTGAGACTTGCTTAAAGCGTTTCTGAGTTGCTGATGCATCAGAGCAGGGCGAGGGGCTTTGGAAAGGCCTAACTAGATGATGGAGGTTCCTAAGGCCAAGGAGGAAAATCATTTCATCTCTCAGCGGATCACACAGTTGCCTTTACCTGGCATTTGCTATGGTACAGAAACCCCAGAGAATCTTCTGCCTCCCCTGCTTTCTCTGTAGGAATGAGGAAGAGCAGGCATATGGAAGCTTCTTACACAGCTCATTTGCCTCATTGGTCTGTTGCAACCTGGGGTTTCAGGGGAAGACTCACAAGAACTTTTCTACACTGTTCCAGCCTCTATTCAGGCCTTCCCCATTGGACCCAGTGCATTCTGTGTGACATTTCAGCCATGTTTCCAGAATTACTGTGAAATACCCTGTTCCCATCCACCCTGGAAGTGGATTCCCAGGTAGTACGGAGGCTTTGCCCCTTCCCCAGTTGTCGTGTGCCCTTGCAGGTCCTGTTCATGCTGAGGCCTGCCAGGAGCCCTGGCTGCTCTGTCGTTTGGTTTGAGCCATCCCTGTCCACTGGAGTTTCCTTGATTCACACCTTCTTCCTTAATAAGGTGTCCTTTTAAGAATGACAATAAAACATATTTTATTCAGAAGCTGGGAAAAGACTCATAAAAACCCTTCATTGAAATTCACCTTTGTGAAAGATTCATCTCCCAGCCCCCTTTAACCAGCACAGCTGTCATGAACAACTTTTTCTGTGTGTGTGTTTTTTTTTTTCTTCTTGTCCCTCCCACCCCATTTCCTCTCCCTGCTCCAGCAAGGGCTTATCTTTCAACTGTGGAAAAGCCACCAATTAAACTGTACTCCAAAGCTTATCAAAATATTCAGTCAGTAAAATTATCTTATAATTAGCCTCACTGTAAGCCAGAACGTTTTAATCCCAGGAAACGTAAAGTCATCCGGCATTTGAAATCTGTAAATTGCTCATCCTGACCTTCTGTGCACAGCTTCTGCTTTTATTTCTTTCCCAAAGTAATTTCTTCCTTGTTCTTCAAATTCTTGATTGTCTCGGAGGCATCTTCCTCTTCTGTTTGCTTAAGTTGCAAAGAAAACTTACTGCTAGTTGAGACAGAGAATTGAAAAGTTCAGGTGAGCGTGATATGCAATCAACCAGATTTTATATATTTCATGCCTTCACTTTTAGCTGTTCTTTTCGCAAACACAAGCCCCGATTGCTAATGGCTTGCCCTCGTGGGTCCCGTACTTCGGATGCCTGCAGTGATATGCATGGCTGAATTATTCTGGAGCCAAGCTATTCAAACAGTATCTGGGGGGTTCTGTAGGACGTCGAGCTGGGCAGGGGCACTGGACTTTTTATTTCAGCCATTTCTCTTCTCATAGCTCTCCCTGCCCTTTCACCCTGTCAGCCTGGGGATCCTCCTGTCGTCTTGCACCACCTGGGACAGCATCATGAATGTTACCTCCCCACCCAATCCTATTCGGACCCACATCAAGGGAACCATAAGTGATGTTTGGGAATCTTAAGGTTAAGGTGCAACTTAGACTTTGGCTACAGAAATGATATTCAGATGATGCTTAGGTTCTTTTTTTTTTTTTTCTTTTTTTGAGATGGAGTCTCACTCTGTCACCCAGGCTGGAGTGCAGTGGCACAATCTTGGCTCACTGCAGCCACCACCCCCCAGGGTTCAATGATTCTCCTGCCTCAGCCTCCTGAGTAGCTGGGATTACAGGTGCCTGCCACCGCACCTGGCTAATTTTTTGTATTTTTAGTAGAGAGGGGGTTTCACCATCTTGGCCAGGCTGGTCTTGAACTCTTGACCTCGTGATCCACCTGCCTCGGCCTCCCAAAGTGCTAGGATTACAGGCATGAGCCACCATGTCTGGCCGATGCTTAGGTTTTTAATGTTGTGAGCCTTCTTAAACTAGTCTTGCCGTAGGTACGAGTGGGCTAGTGAAACTTACACAGGCATGTTTGACTTGGTCATCACTTGTTGCATGATGAAACATTTTGAAAGTTCCCAAAACTCGTTGAAAAATTAAATTTTGGAATGTACTAACATTTTGATAAACGGAGTATTGCCTGTATATAGTGCTAGCAGTGGTAGTTATTATTTATAGATTTTTTTCCTATCTGTCACACAGTAGGCATACACATACACACAGAGAGATACAAACACACAAATATATAAAAATTGCTTATCCTTACATTAATTCTGTGAGAAAGTAATTATTTTGCCCATTTTGCAGTTGGGAAAATTGAGGCTCTGACAGTTTCAGTAACTTACTGATGCAGCTGAACTTGACTGGCTGGCCTGACCCTTGTAATCCCTTCTGTGAACTAGCCAGGGCCCCTGTCATATGATTTGACCCCCACTTACGCCTGAGAGGTTTCCTCATCATCCCTGCAGAGTAAGAGGAAATCATAGCTTCACTCACTCCTCCACTTGATGCAGCGCCCAGCAATTGCATGCACCATATCTTGATGTCGCGTGTTTATTTCAGGCTCAATTTATTTGCTGACCTCAGAGCTGAAACTTGCCTGCCTTGAGCTTATGGGATTGGTGTGAAGGCTGTGATGATCCCCATAGGGAGACTCTGGCCTAGGTGGCCTGGGCTCTACTTGCTGTTCTTATGGTAGGAGATAGAGGGGGGACCAACTCCCAGGATCCCACCATGTATGGGCATGTTCTCCTAATGCCAACCTTGGAATCAGCTACATGCTGCAATCCCATCCTTTCACAACTGTGTCTCGGAGCTAAAAGACCCTTATTTTGGAAACTATTCCTATTGAGAGACACCTCCTGTCTAATCCACAACTAAATATTTTTTGCCTCTTTAAGACTCTTTCAAAATACAAATTATATTTAAAAGCTAAGATGAAACGAAATATCCGTCATTAAAATGTGTTATTTTTGAAGCATTAGCTGTAGGGCATTTTAGAAAATCTTTAAAACATAATTGGCCATATCAAGTTAATTTTCTTGTGTGAATTCTGCATATTCTTGATATTACTTAATTTGTTTTTCTCTCTCTTTAATTATAGCTTGGGTTGACGATAGCCGTTCGCTATAGCCGTAGGTAAATGTTTACATTTTTGTTTCTTTTAAGAATATCCTTAGCAGTTTATAGCTCTTGGTTTGCTTATGCCTCAGACTTTGAGCTTTTTTTTTGGTGATTGCTTTCCTGTGATGTCAGTGTCACAGGTGGAATTGTTCTAGTTGCTTGATTGGTAAGAGCACATTGCTATTTAGAGGAACGAGATCTTTGTGAAAACATGGTGGTAGATAGCACATTTATTTTAAAACAAAAAAAAAGGGATATTCTAGGGCATGACGCAGATGCACTATGTGGGTAATGTTCTCACTCTTAAAGAGTGAGACACTCTTAGGGTGTCTCTGAAAACGGGGACGCCCCGCATGACAGGTGAATCCCAGCAGAGACAAACCCAGCAAGGGCTGCTCTGTGAAGCCCTCGCCACCCCTCATGCCAGGCCTCTCTCTGTGTCTTAGGATGTCTGACAATGGCAAAAAGCCCTATTTTTGTCTTGCTTCGTGATTTCTGCCTTGGTCTCAACTGTATCACGCTTATGAAAAATGTTTGTTTGTTGCGTTGATATCAACACAAGTAACAGAGAAACCTTCGCATGTGTCAAAATGCATTGAGATGTTTAAGTCAGATCCAGCCCCAGTGGAGGGGTGATAAGCAGGATCCTTCCTGTCCTTACAAAAACCGTGCTCACAGCCTCCAAAGTACCACCCTGTGGTCCTAGGCTTCGGGCTTGGGGATGTCTGCTCAGCTGCCCACAGACAACCCAAAGTCACCTGATTTCAGAATAAGTCTGCCTCCTAACAATGCTCTTAACAAGTGTATACATGGTTTCAATATACATGTGAATTGGGCGATCGTAGGCAATTCCTGAGACCTAGAAGCTGCGGGGGAGCCATGTAGGTTGTAGCAGGAAGAGGGCAGGAGAGGACCCGAACCCTTGGAATGAGCCTGTGGGGAGAAAGGTTCTCATGTGGGACATTTCTGGAGACCTGTGAAAGAAATTGCTCCAGAGATGCTCAAGATCCTGCAGGGGAAAGAAATACATTTTCTTGGCCCATTGCTAGGGGCACGGCTGAGTCCCCATACAAAAGACAGATTAACTAGAGAAAGCATGCAAATTTATTTAACAGAAGTTTTACATAAAATGGGAAACAAAGACCCCAAGTGACAGAGAAACCTGTATGTTTTTAATGTTAGTTTGATGGAGAAGTGCACAGTCGTAGAGGTGGATAATTGCACAAAGGGGGTATGATCTAATAGTGATAAACTGGGTGGGGAGTTGGGGACTTAACAAACGTAGCCTGTTTGTTCAGATTCTGTGGTCCTGTGTCTTCAGAGATAAGTGTGTTTCTTTTCTCTGGGTATATGGAGGCTACCTCTCAAATGAGAGTTTTGTGGCCTGTATCGGGGAGGAGGGGAAGGGGAAGGTGAGAGTGACCTTCCTGCTTCTGCTGTTTTCTCAAATGCCAAGGTGCCGGGTTTTAGTGTAGTGTGTCCTGAACCCCATCAATTGTTTGTATGTTTCCGGTCCTGTGCGTGCATGATGCATGCCCACGACAGAAGTGTGGCGTCCTGCAGAAGGGTCCTCTTCCCTTGTAACCCCCACCAGGCTGCTGCAGCTGCTGAGGCACACAGCTACGGCACGCTTAGGAAGAAGCATGGCGCGCACACAGACCCCTAACCCTAAAACCAACTGTGTGTATGGTATGGTGGGGTGCGGTGGGTATGGAAGTGCTCTCTCTGGAACTTGCAGGAGCCTCTTTTTCTAGAATGTTCTCAAGGTGGACTGCTCCAGAATGAGGATCTTGCTCTAGTTCAGAGACAAGCATACTCTTCCCCATGATGTCTCACTGTGTTGCAAGGGCTGGGTTTGAACTCCTAGACTCAAGCAATCCTCCTGCCTTGGCCTCCCAAATTGCTGGGATTACAGGAGTGAGCCGCCACGCCTGGTCAAGGTAGGCTTCTGAGAGGAAGGAAATCTTAAACCATCCTCATTCCTGTAAAGTGTAAAAGTGGCAGGGAGGCCCATCTGACTCAGGCAGATGCCCCTGGGAGGCTGATAACATGGGTCTCTCAGAACACATAGTCTTTAAATTGCTGTCTGGCATTGCTGTGGAGGAGAAGCAGAGTTTGGGGAGAGCGTGGAGGTGTGGGGTGGATCCTGGCGACTTCAGATTGCTTCTGTAGTCCTACTAGTTCAGCCTTGACCCCAAACTTAGAACCTGCTCCTCAGACAAGCCCTGCAGAGAATTGGACAGAATGCAAAGAGGAAGTTAGCAGCTGTCTGTTGTACATCAGCTTGCTTCTTGAGGCTCCAACCCCCACCTTCTGTGCTCTGCTCTCCCCAGGAGACATCCTAGCACATGTGGCTTCCCCCTGCTGTGTTTCCAGAGATGTTTGTCTCCAGGCTGTCCTTATAACCTTTAAGGTGTTAAGTGCAGAGCAGTTTACAAATATCATGGATCTTTACATAAGTGCAACAATAAACAAACAAAAATCTCAGTAAGTGGGAGAAGTAACAACCGAAAGTGATGAGATTGAGGGAAGGAAAGGGAAGACATCTCCTGAGGCTGCCTTGCAAGGTCCAAGGTCCTTCACCATCTACCTTGGGATCTGGGGACCAGGGAGTGAGTGGTAGCCCAGTGAAGCCAGTATTCACAAAAAGGCTGCCTGCAGCAGCTGGTGTCATCTGTAGAAGAGTCTGAAGACTTTGGGTGCAGAAAGAATGATTAGAAAGTGATTGCAGTAACTCAGAGACAGCATGAGGACTTTCTAGGCTTGGCTGGGCCTCTCACAAAATATGAATGTCTGATTTGCACAAGCCAAGCTGGGGAGAGTTACTGAGGAGCCTGTGACCTGGTCGCAGACTGACGTCTTCAGTACTGTGGAAATGGAGAAGGGATGATCAAAGGGTTGTGTTTTCCAGAAATTACTTCCGAAATCTAAGGAATTCTGATTTTAAAATTCTGGAAAGTACAACAACATTTGTAAATTTGTGGTGGGGACAAACCTACCTTCTGGGAAATCCCCATTTTCCCAGAACTGATGACACTTCACGAGGTGTCACCGAAGAGCTGTTTGCATGTCAGGTCTCTTCTTCCCCTCGGGCACGGGAGGACCTGATCTTTCCTCTAAGAGGCCTGCAGGTCACCCTGTGACTCTTCCTTCTTTTTCTTTCTTTCTTTCTTTCTTTCTTTCTTTCTTTCTTTCTTTCTTTCTTTTCTTTCTTTTCTTTCTTTCTTTCTTTTCTTTCTTTTCTTTCTTTCCTTTCTTTCCTTTCTTTCCTTCCTTCTTTTTTGAGACAGAGTCTTGCTCTGTCATCCAGGCTGGAGTGCAGTGGTGTGATCTTGGCTCACTGTAACCTCTGCCACCTGGGTTCAAGCAATTCTCATACCTCAGTCTCCCAAATAGCTGGGATTACAGGCACCTGCCACCATGCCTGGCTAATTTTTGTATTTTTAGTAGAGACAGGGTTTCACCATGTTGGCCAGGCTGGTCTTGAACCCCTGACCTCAAGGAATCTGCCCACTTTTGCCTCCCAAAGTGCTGGGATTACAGGTGTGAGCCACCGCACCTGGCTACCGTGACTCTTCTGCTCCCTCTTACACCTAGCCTGGCCACCTGCGTCTCCCCTCATCTGGCAGGAGGAAGATGAGGGATGTAGGTTTCTGGTTGAGTCCCCTCTTTAAAAATCCTATTTGCTTGTTTGGACTGGCTGAAACTTCTAACCTTTTGTTGATTACTTTTTTCGTGTGTAGTGAAATACGCCTAACATAAAATCAGCCATTTGTTTTAGTCTGTTTGTGCTGCTATAACAAGATACCATAGACTGGGTACTTTATAAAGAACAGATTTATTTTCTCACAGTCCTGGAGGCTGGGAGGGCCAAGATGAAGGCACCAGCACGTTCAGTTGTCTGGTGAGGGCCTGGTCTCTGCTTCCAAGATGGTGCCTCGTTGCTGTAGCCATGGGCGGGGAGGAGTGCTGTGTTCTCACGTGGCAGAAGGGAGAAGAGCAAGAGGGGAAGGCTTCATGAAGCCTCTTTATAAGGGTCTTCATTTCATTCATGAGGGAGGAGCCCTCATGGCCTAATCACCTTTTAAAGGTCCCACCTCTTAATACCATCATGTTGGCCATTAAGTTTCAACACCTGAATTTTTGAGGGAACACATGCAAACCCTAGCACTATTTTAACCATTTTTAAGTGTATAGTTTAGTGGCATTAAGTACATTCCCACTGTTGTGCAATCAACACCACTGTCCATCTCCAGAACTTTTTCAACATTGCAAACTGTAACTCCATACCTATTAAACAATACGTTTCCTTCCTTAGTTCCTCTCCAGTTCCTCACAGCCACCATTTTACTTTTTGTCTCTATAAATTTGATTATTCTAGGGACTTTCTATTAGTGGAACAATATAGCATTGGCCTTTTTGTGACTACTTTATTTTACTTAGCATAATTCTTCAAGATTCTTGCGTATTGTAGAATGTGCCAGCATTTCATTCCTTTCTATGGAATCATATTCCATAGCATGTGTAGGCCACATTCTGCTTATCCATTCATCCATCAGTGGACACGTGGGTCGCTTCCACCTCTTTGCCATTGTGAATAATGCTGCTGTGAATTTGAATATACAAATACCTCTGACACCCTGGTTTCAATTCTTTTGGGTACATGCCCAGAAGTGGAATTCCTGAATCATATGGTAATTCTAAGTTTAAGTTTTTGAGGAGTGGCCATACTGTTTTCCTGTCGATTACCATTTTCCTTGTCACGTTGACCCCAAACCCAGATGCCAAAGTTGAGGGAAGGGGTCCTCTTTGTGTGGGTAGGGATACCTTTGGCATCAAGATTTGACGCTTTAGATTCTAAATCTAAGACCAGATTTGGAATTTGGAAGCAGACCAGATCTGCTTCCAAAATTCTAACATGGGCTTCAGGACCAAGAGAGATGGTGGAGAAAACCCCAACAGACTCCTTTAGTAGATGGAAGAGGGGATGAAGGAACGGGGGACAGGAAAACATG